TTTGTTTCTTGTAATAATGTTTTGTAATTTTCTTTGAATAGATCTTTACAAAGTATTTTTTTATTCACCCATTTATTTTGTAACATTAAAGGCAATATCCACTTCACAGTGTATTCACACTTTCCCCACTTCCTACTTCTTACACTGTTTTCAGCTAATCTTTCTCTGTGTCTTTTCTTTCTTTGGTGATATTGTAGTGATCAGCCTCTTATTGTATATTTCTTTCTCTTTACTTATTTTAATATATGACTTTAATCTATCTAAGGAGCTTGGGTGACCAAGTGAATAAGGAATTGTACTACCATCCTTAAAATAAGCCAGCTACTCCACTGAAGAAAGATTACCAGTTTCTTCTTGTGTGATGTATAAGCTTAGAAAACCTAAATGAGTTTAATCTAACTGGACAACACAGGACAAAACTTACATTACCTATTTAATAATTTTTGCTTCCTTCTCTCTTTTCTTATTCTTGTTAACCATGCAAGAATTATTTTATCTTTGTGTAAACCTTTCTTGAGTTTGTTGTCGCTTATGTATATATATTATCGTGTGCCATTGAGTTGAAACTGATTCATAGCTGACCCTCCTGAGGGTATTTACAAGTACTAATCACATGGGAGGAGATTGTCCTCCCTTCTCTCACAGAGGAGTTAGTGTGCTCAAACCACATGCCTTCAAGATTGCAGCACAGAAATGTCCTTGGATTTCAGACCAATTTTGAATGGAGAGAGGACTGAAATTGTCAAAAGCTTTAACTTGCTTGGAACCACAATCAATACTCTTGATACCAGCAGTCAAGAAATAAGGAGACACATTGCCTGGGGAAATCTACACTTAGGGACCTTTCTAAATTATTGAGGAGTAGTCACTTTGAAGACTAAGATGTGTCTCTTTCAGGCCATGGGCTTTCTGATTACTTCATATGCTTCTGAGAATTGGACAAAGAATAAGGATGACAGAAAAAGAATTGACGCCTTTGAGTTGTGGTGTTGGAGAGGAGCATTGATCATCCCACAGATGACTGAGAGAATGAATGGAGAAGGGTGCAGCCAGAATACTCTATGGAGGCAGAAGTCATGAGGCTTCATCTCATGTACTTTGACATGTGCTAGGAGGTGTTATTCCTTGGAGAAGGACGAAATACTGGGAAGAGTGGGAGACTGGCGAAGGAGAGGAAGAGCCTCAACCACGTGGATTGATACAGCGACTGCTACAATAGGCTCTTGTGTGTTAGAAAGTGTGAGGGTGGCACTTGATAGAACAGGGTTCAGATTTTTTATTCATCGGGTCGCTATGAGTCATGCTCAACTTGATAGCACCTAACAACAACATATGCAGATATTGCATGTATTTAATACTTTTCGTCAGGTGGCACTTCATGAATTCTGCATAGTATATGATATAGGGAGTCATGGCAGGCCCTTCCTTTGAACTTGGAGGAGCCTACTTATTCCATTGCATCAGTGGTTCAGTAAAATGTGAATCTAGATATCACACATGATCATATTAGAGACTACATGGGCTCCTTGCATAGTTATTCCATATTACAAATGAAATGCTTCAGACTGGACACCTGCAATCACAAAAACACTGACCTGAACACATTATAAAATCAAAGTCACAGGAAGGAACAATAAACATGAGATCTCAAGAAATAGGTGGCTCTAGAGAAAATTGGTAGACTGAAAAAAATTTTAAGCCTATGAACATGGGGGAAAACCCATAAAAAGAAAGAGACTCAAGACTCCAAAACACTTCTCAAATCCAACTTGTGTTCTTCCACAAGGTACACATACCTTAATGTGCAAGAGAATGACACCAATAAAGGAAGCAGAAGTCACTGGTTGTTTACCACTACATTTGGGAAGGGACACATAAATAGGGAAAAAACGTCATGTCTTTGAAGGAGGGTATAGAGTCTTGGATGGCCTCTGGAGGTGTTACAGGAACATTTGGAAAGACACACTCAGACTTAATGTTCCCAATACTTGTCTCTAATGGAAATTTAGTTAGGTAATCAGAGAATAAACAGAGCTAGCACCTCATGTTTGCAGCACAACACTACCAATCATCAAATTGAAAGAAACAGTGGAATGCACCTGGACATTCTGAAAGGGAAGTTCTTGCTAAATGGGGCAAATTGAACACCCATAACCAAAGAAAACAGAATTCTTTGCTGCCCACGGCAAGAAGATAATTTCCCCTTGTATTTCATTATAATGAAGCCATTGATTGCTATAAATCCTAAGGACTATAACATGGGGGGGGGAGAAAATTTGAGTCCTTTAAAATTAGCTCTCCAAATCACTCCATTGCTCTAGTACGGGAAGTGCTCTCAGAAAATGAACTGATATTTACTCCTCCTCTTTTTTCCTTTCCTAAGTGCCATCAAGAACAATGGCATATTGTAGAAAATATCGCGATTTCTTGTTAATGTGTTTAGAAATTGTTAAATGGGGATCTTATTTGTGATGTGAACTTTTACTTTAAACAATAAAATAGTAGTTTTTTAAAAATTTTAAAACACCTGTTGTAGAATGGGTCTGATATCAGGGTTGGGGTGTGAAAGAAAAAAACTGGATAAATTATGCATATTGTATTGAAACAGATGAGGGAAAGAACTGATTAGAGATGATATATGATTAAGTATTATGGTTAGCACAGGAATCCAGAATTAAGGTTGCATAGAGAAGTGTACTCAGGGTGGGGGTTGGGGGCAAAGGGATGGAGGATGATGTATAATAACGGAGGAATTTTTTTTTCTTTTTCTTTTCGGAGAGGGGGGCGAACTGGTGGGGAGGGGTGGGCAGGGAGAGAGGTGCAGCAAGGAATGAACGGAAATCCAAAACCTCTGTAAATACCTGTTAAAATTAATAATAAAAAAATTTTAAACACCAAGACCCCACCTCCCCCAAAAATACACAAACCCTCCAAAAGATGTCATTACATCTGATCCAAACCATGTTATTTTTTAGTCATCTCATAGCCTTATGAAAGAATATTCAAAGAATTTGTTACTTTGAACTATTATGTTGGAAAAGATTGTTAATATACCATGATCATGAGGAGAAAGTACAAATCTCTCTTGGGAGACGCACAGAAATAATGCATCTTACATGTTAAGTATGTGGATATTGTTATGAGGAGACATGCATCCCTGAAGAAGGGGATCATGCTGGTAAAGTCAGTCAGCAGAAACAAGGAAGACCTTCAAAACGTAAAGTTGAAATAGTGCCTGCAAAAAGAGTTCAAATATATTTGTGATGATGGTAAAAAAAAAATGACCTTAAAAAATATTGGTTTTCAAATGATATAATAATGAAAATATTGGTTTGCATATAATAATTTATTTATATTGTGGTTCATTCATGTACATTGGTTGCTTTTTATTCGTCAACTCCTTTTTCTGTCCACTAGACTATGTGACCCTGTGATTTCGCATCTCCTCATCCGAAGCCATCCTACCTATTTCCTTTCCTTCTTTTGATTTCCATGCACTTCTCACTCATCTTTTTGTTTTTACAATAACAGCTCTGCACAGTATTTGTTCTTACTTTCCTATCAGCTCTCTAGCCTTTTCCAAGTTATCTAGCATTTTCCAAAATAGTTGCTTCTGAGTGCTGCATAGTGTTTCATCATGTGAATATACCACAGTTTCTCAATCAGTTTGGACTGTTTCTATGTTCTTATTATTAACGTGCCAACAGTGTATTAGAGTTCCAATCTCTACATATTCTTTCCAACATTTATTGCTCGCCCTCCTATTAATTTTGCCGTGGCACTTGAGGTCAGAGTATTATGTGATTTTGATTTACAACTCTTCTATTGTCAATGATTTTGAGCATTTCTTCATGTTTGTTGGTCATCTGAATGTCTTCCTCTTTTTAAGGTCTTTCCATATCTTTTATGTTCAGCATGTTTTGATAACTTATAGATTTCTGTGAATTTCAGTATTTACATAGCTTACATGTGAGAATGGTTACCCAGGGTGGACAGCGTTTGGTGAAGCTCCCCGATTAAAACAAGCTTGGAAGCAGGAGTGACATCCACTTCCGTAATAGCTTGCCTCTGGAAACCCTATGAATCTGGAGAAAGGACAAAAGTTATACTGGAGGTGTCCAGGACTTTTGTTCATAGGGTCATTATGAGTTGCCTGTGGCTCGATGGCACTTGACAACAACAACACATAGCATAGACAATTATTAAAATGGTTGTGACTGAATTATTGAATTGTGAATTTAAACATTATTAGTAGGACTCTACAGTTTGGTCAAGCTATAGTTTTTTTATATTTTGTTTTATGTTGGTTTACATACAAAGTTCATATACATTATTTTTCAGCTTTCCCCTTTCTTTTACCAATCCCTCCCTCCACTCATCAAAATGTGCAACTCTTTGTTTAAGGCCTCCCTTCCCCCCCCCCATTGGATCCTCATACACACTCTCTAACAATGGTCCTATACCAAACTTACCAAACTATAGATTTTTTTTCAAACTGTAGATTTTATTGCTTGCACAGTTGCAGACAAAATTCTTCTGGCTGGGTTTGAATTTTCTAGACTGAAACTCAAGTTAGGTTAAGAACATCAGTTTGCTCTATTTGGGTGGTAAAAGTAGCTTCTAGAAAGGAATAATTTTGACTGTTAGTATTGCATATTTATTCTTGATAGGACTAAGATTAGAACAGGAGGGAGAAATTCTATTTGCCAAAAAGCTCTGAGACACTATCCAAGGTTCATTACCTTGAGAAAATCTAGAAATTAGTGCTCCATTAAAACACGTTTTCTTTTCTTTCTCCTCTCTGTTTAAAACTATGGTTAAACTTGAAAATGAGAATTTTGGAAATTTGGATTCCTGTTTAATATCAGAGACTTAAACAACACATTTTTAATTTTAACCAGTTATGATCAAAATGCTAAAATAAAACAAAAAAAAAGAAAATGAAGAGCATTTGACTCCTGAACTTAAAATGAAGTACACATAAAGCTTAAACTGGTTATGACAAAAGCCTATAGTGGTATTCCTTGAACTACGAAGAAAAAAAATTGGCAATCTTTTAAGTATATATAGCTTAAACTATAATTTTTATCATTTGGCACCATATGTATGCCATTGTATTTTGATTTGCGGTACTTTTTTCACAATGAAGTTTTGTTTAAGGCTTTGATTTTATGATTATGGAAAAAATAAGATACAACTACAGTTTTTCTTTTTTTCTTAAATTTCATCACTGTGATGTGGTTCTTTTGTATGTGTGTATTAAAGTGCAACTATCAAAACTAAAAAATTCTAGAGTAATATTACCACTCTACTGATTTTAAATATACAGTACATCATATATACTTTACAAGCAAGTTAAATGGAGAAAAGCTGAAATCATAGAAGATGCAAATGACCTTTCAAAATCAACACAATGTGTTCTGAAACTTTCTGTGACTAATACCAGGCATCTGTGATCAATGAACTATGTGGTTTTGAATGGGATGTAGATTTTTAGATTGATAGTCATGTACAAGGTACTGAATATCTGTTGATTTTATAATTTAGTAGCTTTTATTACAAATTATTCTTTTAGTTTGGATTTATTTTGCAATTTTTTTTATAAAATTCTACATAGTTTAAAAAAATGTAGGGTGGTTTTGCTTGTTTGTTTTTTACCTGGTTTGCTTACAAAGTTCCAGGTCCCTACGGATCTTTCTCATTTTCCCTCACTTCCTCCCTCCACCTATGAAATTGCACAACCCTGTGATTTTATCCTTATATATCATCACTCTTCTGTTTCCCGCCCCCCCCGCCCCGTCCCCCCTCTTAGATCTCCATACATATTTTACTAGTTATCCTTTTGTTTTTTACAATAATGGTCTTAAGTAATATTTGTTCTTATGAGACTGAGTTATTTCACTCAGCATAATACTCTGCAGTCTCTCTCAGTTTACGTAGTTGTTGGTTGTTTTTATTTGTTTGTTTTAAATCGTCACTCCTGAGTGCTGCATGGAATTACAGTTTGTGAATTCACCACGATTTCTCAATCCATTCGGTTGCTGTTAGAATATTTCCATGTTCTACTACTAGGAATATGTTGTTATTGTTATGTGCCATCGAGTCGCTTGCAACTCATAGTGACCCTATGTACAATAGCCCTAAACTTTGCTCTGTCCTGTGCCAATCGCACTATCTCCGACACAGCCATCCCGATTACCCCAGTTGCTGAATCAATCCACCTCAGAGCGGGCCTTCCCCTTCTGCGCTGTTTCTTCACCCTACCAAGCATGATGATCCTCTCCAAAGATCTGTCCCTCCTTACAACATGCCCAAAGTATGTTAGAGGGAGCCTCAGAATCCTTGCCTCCAAGGACCCACCCGGTTTAACCCATTCCAAAATAAATCTGTTTGTTTTCCTAGGAGTCCTGGTACCCTCAATACTCTTCTCCAGCACCACAGCTCAAAGGCATCAATTCTCCTTCTATCCTCCTTAGACATTGCCCAACTCTGTGATGCATAACAAGTGATAGCAAAGACCATGGCCTGTATCAGGCACACCTTAGTCTCCAAAGAGACACCATTGCTCTTCAGTACTTTGGAGAGGTCCCTAACAGCAGACTTTCCCGTGGCAATGCACCTTTTAATTTCCTGGCTACTGGTGCCAAGACTGTTGACTGTGGAGCCAAAGCTGTGTACAATCTCAATCTCTTCACCATCCATCCTGATGCTGCCAATTGGTCCAGTGGTGAGAATCTTTGTCTTCTTGACATTGAGCCTCAATCCATATTGGAGGCTACAGTCCTTGACCCTCTGCTGCAAGTGCTTCAGGTCTTCTTCAGTTTCAGCAAGCAGGGTTATGCCATCTGCATAACGCAGATTGTTAATCGATCTTCCACCAACCTTGACCCCACATTTCTCCTCAAAGAGCCCAGCCTCCCGGATCATTTGTTCTGGCATACAGGCTGAAAAGGTATGGAGATAGGATGCATCCCTGGCGTACATGATGTTTTGATTTTTAATGTACTGTTGAT